CTACAGGAAATAGAATAAAGAAAAACATACAAAATATAAATCGATCAAGCAATGATCAATAAATTTTAAGGATATTTTCCTTTGGAAAGTGCAAAAATAGGTAAGCACCGAACTGCTCGAGTTCTGTCTTCGCAAGCAGTCATTTTCAACTAATTCGTAAAACGAAGTAGAAGTAAACCAAAAGAAAAGATTTCAGGGTTGGCTATGATAGGTCTATACACAATAAAATAAATGTTTTAAAAGCTGAAGGGATACAGAATCTTAAAAGAATGTTGACAATGTTCAAAACTACCCAAACCTTAAGATACTTCCATTGCTATTCGTAAACCTCAAGAAACATTAGAGCAATTAATTAAATACTCGGCACTATCTAAACTGATTGAATAGTTTTCGAATTCGAACTGTTCAATGAATATCTAGAGCAAAACTCTTATTTCAAATGAATTTTGAAACTCGCCATCATTCAATTTACGAGGGACCATTTTCAACTGATCAATCGCTTTTCAATTCGAATTTTGTGCGTAAGGTAGATTTCAATGAGATATGAAAATTCTCAAAAAGATAATTCTCCTTAGGTCTTCTGTTCAGAGTTATAGGTATTTTACTGAAATTTAGCCTCTGACAAAAGTATATACCAATAAATCGGATGAAGATTGTTTCGATTCGATCCGGCACTTTAATATTTCGGAAAGAAAATACTTTTTTGAACTGAAATTTTCAGAACCCTCTACTTATGAATAGACATGTATGTGGGCAAAAACACCAGTATAATGCATACAGTCCGAATTCGATCAGTTGAAAACGTTCTCTCGTTATTACTTAGTATAATTGTTAATGATCTCATCAGATTTGGCATTCACAGAGGAGTAAACAGCAACAGAACATCTGGAAAAAAATTTATATTTACCTGTTGTTCATGGGTAGAAGAAAATCCTGTTGTTGAACGTCGCGATGATGGTGAAATAGAAGGTGATGCTGTATTTGACTGTGATCGACTTGAAGAGGATGGAGCTTTTGATTGTTGAATCTAAACAAAAGGTTGAATAAATTTTTCTTTTTTTTGTATTAGAAACAAAAAAAATCTAACATGTTGATCAGTTCGATGATGAGTATAATCAGTTGAAGAACGACTTGTAGTACTTTTGCTTGAACTTGAAGAACGTTGTGTATGATTTGTTGAACTTTGTAATGTTGTTGGTGGTGGGAGCGGTTTCATAGTTGACGTATTTGTGTTCGTTTTTGGACTATTAAGTGATTTATTAAGCATATTATCAACAGTTAATGGTGATGCAGAAAGTTTTGGTGATGATGAACCAGTCAGAAGTGCTTCTTTAAGAAAAGATCCAGCTGGAGATTTTTCAGATGGAAGCTTTGTAGCAAATTGCTGTTGTTGTTGTAGTTGTTGTTGTTGCTGTTGTTGTTGTAGTTGTTGTTGTTGCTGTTGTTGTTGTAGTTGTTGTTGTTGCTGTTGTTGTTGTAGTTGTTGTTGTTGCTGTTGTTGTTGTTTAGATATATTCATTGATGATGTGGTTGAAGAAGTTGGTCGTTGTGATGATGATAAATCTTTATTCGAAGAAGAATGAGTATTTATTCTTGACGTTGAATTTGATGATTCATTTGAATGTTTTTTAGGCTGAGGAAATAAATCCATAGTCAGATCAATAATAGTTGAAGAACTTGAGGTTGAATTACGTTTAGTTGTTGAATCCGATTGTAGTAATGGAGAAATAATAGCTGGTTTTGCTATTGGACGAACAATATCAGATTTATTAGATTTGATTAACGACTGTTCAGATAACTAAATAAACGAATAAATAATAAAAAATATATTCTATACAAAAAAAACTATACTTGAATAGTTGTTGATTCAATCGATGTTGAATGCGGTGTATGTTGCTTAATAGGATTAGTTGTAACACGCGTAGCCATTTCTAATGATTTTCCATGAACTTGATTCGTTGTTGGATGAATTGAAGGTTTGATATCAGTTGTTTTTAAATTTTGCTGTTGAGAAACTTTTGTTGCATTGATCGTTGGTGATGGATTAGTATTTGCTATTTTTGATGGTGGTGCCGGTGGCAGTGGGGATGGTGGTGGTAACGTCGGTGGTGGTTGTGGAATCGTTGGAGTATCTTTTTTTATTCGTTCAGTTGTTGAAGGTATTGGTGTTACTCGAAATGGCTAATAAAAAAGAAAAAGTTTATTAGATAAAAAAATAACGTTGTTACTTGAGATGATTGATTCAAAGGTACATTCATATCTCGTAATGGTCGATATTCAATTCTAATAACTTCACTAATGATTTTTCTAATTAGAAAAAAAAAAGGAACTCATAAAAGTTAATTGGTTTTCTTTCTTTATGATATACTTTGCTGTCATCCATCCAGGCTTCTCCCATAATGATACAATATGATCATGAAGAAATAATTCTAATGAATCCGAATCAAAAATTGTCATTGTTTCAAGTTTACAATCAATACAACGAATAATTAATTCACTTAAAAATAAAATCGAATAAAAATAATTTATAAAAAGAAAAAATGTTTTAAATACTTTATTGTTTTATATAAACGAAAGTTTTTTCTTGGTCCTCGATTTTTGTCTTTTGATGGATTTTCAACCATTTTCTTTTGCCATTCTCTATAACAAAAAAAAAACAAACTATTAGCAGAATGCTTGTGAAATTAACATGCGAAACACGATGAATATACTAGTATTATAAAAGTGGGAACTAATCAATATGTTTCCGCTTATGGATTCCTATCGTCTGTTAATGTAAGATATTAATCGCAATATATGGCAGTGCGTGTGAAACACAAGTAAAGGACAACTATCATACTAATCTCAGAATGAACTTTGATCTCGCGGTTATTTCTATCACATCTATGGGGATAGATACAGTGCATTGAGTTGGTCCTAGACCTGACGAACACTAGGACTGAGAGGCTATGTCTAAGCTTCTACTTCTATACTTCAACAATCCTTTAAGATCGTGTTTCACAAAAAAATGAATTATTTAATTCGAAAGAACAATTTCGAAAAAAAAACAAACTTTATTGCTTGATTATGTGCTTGTATGTGGGATTCCAATGAACGATTAACTTCAATTTTTAGTTTTTCTTTAAGTTCGTTTAATGGCATTGGTGTCATTAATGGTTCATAATCGTTTAATAATAATAATCGACCTCGTGTTATTAGTATTGCAGCACATATACCAGTTTTTGTACTTAAAATATCAAATACTAATTGTCGATTAGCATTCGTGTGGCGATGAAGTTTCTTTACCAAACTTTAAAGAGTAAAAATTTCAAATATTTCTTTTTTTTTTTAATTTCAATTTACTCAAGTAATTCACGACAAACAGTTGGATCAAAAAGACGTTCAACCTTCTTTTGAGCATTAGTATTTGTTTGATCAGATAAAATTAACTAAACAACAAAAACAAACTATAAGACTTGATGGAAAAAAAATTAAAAAAAAAACAAACTTTTGTTAGTTTTTCGATAGATGACTTAATATCATTGTCCATTTCATTTGGTAAAACATATGTTATTGAGCTTTGTGTAGATTGTTCATTAGTAGTTTCACTTAATTTTTTAACTTTTTTAACAGTTTCTTCGACTGGTTTACTATTATTCATTTGATCATCAAAATTGGTTGTTAATAAAGGTGTTTCGATTTCAGATATACTTCTAAAATAAAATAATAAAAAATAAACAACGGATTCAAATTCTATTAGATTTTTCTTTCGAGAGCTAAAATTTGTTTTTGGTTTTTTTTATATAGTCATTTTCATTAGTAAAAAGCGAAAATTCTAAATTAATATTGATTTATTTTCTTGATGGAATTCCAATTTTAAAATAAATGGATTAACTTCAATGAATAAATTCTGTCTTATTTCTATCATAAATGTTCTAGAACGGAACGATTCGATGAGAAACAAAAAATGTTTTTCGCCATTTCTAGTTCTCCAAAACGGCAAAAATGGTCTACCTGGAACATAGCTTTCGTTTGGCTCCGCTTAGGAGGGGAAAGGTTTAAGAGAGAAAGTCTCCAAAAGCTGCAGAAAAACCATTCATTGATCAACTTTTTTTCAGAAAAATATATTCTCTCTGGAACTTTTAATAATCTCGTTATCAACTCCACACATGAGTCTTGTTTCGAGTCTGCCATCCAATCGCCTTGTCTCACAGAAAAGCTTGTCAAGACCTTGAGATTGGGACGATTGTGCATCTGAAATCTGTTTTTGAAATTCGACGATATTCGGGAGATATAAAATATGCATAAACAATAATTAATAAATCATAGATTCCTTATATGGTAATAGCTGATTCTAATTCATTTTCTCTCACTTGGCAGCTAAGTCAAGATACTTGAACGTGACTTAATTTCATAAGGATTTCCTCTATGCGAGTGTAAGATTTTGAAACAGCAGATGTCGTATACAATCGTATTCAGGTATTTTTCGGGCTCGTACAGTCAGTCGCCTTTACTATTGAAGCTTTGCTCTAGTGGCAGCCTAGTTTATTTTCTCTTTGAGAGAAAATAGCTTGTTCTCTTTAACAAATTGACAACAGAACTTCGCTTTTGCATATTCAATCTGGTTCACCGAAAGATTAAAAACTGTTAGCTATCCACAACAGTAAATTTCCCGGGCGAAAGACAAAACGCAAGAAAAAAGTTAGAAGGGAAAAATGACCCTGCTTTTCCCTCTTAATCGTAAGCTATGGCCTAGAATTTTTACTACAGATAAAGCACCTAAAATAAGAAGATACGTTTTCAGGGAAAAAAATTTGAACAAGGTTTTCGAAATTTTACGGCAGATACTTGAAAGTGTTTTATAGAGATGAAATTGATCATTTTTGTTTTTAACCTTTCTATCTAGATTTAGAGAGTTCTGAACACCAACAATACGCTGTTGGATCCGAACCTTAATGTATCTAGTTAAAAAAACAACTCTGAAATATAGTCGAGGATGGATCTAAACAGTATTCAGCCTAATCAAATCAAGTTCAATGACGGTCGTCATGTGATCAGTCGCAGTAATATGTAAAACCAAGATTTTTCTCGGAAAAACTTTCTTTCAATTTTTTTTTCTTCAAACATGTATTTTCTTATATTAGGTTCTATATCTATAGCAAAGATTTTAGGCGGATTCGTTTCATCCTCTTCAAGGATCAGATGACACAGAATAATCTGAAAGTTTAAGCCGAAAAGAGTGTTCCTTTGCCGAGATATTGAATTTTCAAACTTATTTTTTGTGGCTTACGACCATTTTTTGGAAATTCAATATCTCGACAAAGAAATATTCTTTTCGACAGAAACTTTCTGGATATTTTTCTAGTCATTCAACCTGTTTATGGGTGCAATTCAAATCTTACCGAGATCTCTTAGTGAGTTCAATATGTGCTCTAAGGTTGTTTCTTCGTTAGATAAATCTTCTAATAGATTACATACCGTTTTCGTTTGATAGTTGGTAATTTTGGAATTGTATTATCATCTATTTTAACCTTTTTTGCATTCTAAACAATATATATCAGATATGAATCTATAATATATCATAATCATAGTAACCTACTTTTTCATTTAAATCTTCTTGGTTCTAACAAATGAATAAGAAAATTACTATTATAAAACTTTTTTTTTCGTTTAATAATACATACATTATTAATTATCTTTTTTTCTTTGTCTTCTTTCTCACTTTCACTTGATTCATCATCATCGTCACTATCATCTTCTCCTACATCTTCATCTTCACTACTCGATTCACTTGAATCACTTAAATATCGAGCTGTAATTGGTTGATGTTTTTCATTAACATAAAATCCATCTCGTTCATTTGTCATATTTCTTGGTATTATATCTTGTGCAGCTGTCGAATCATCAATAAATGAATCATCATTATCTGGATCATTATAACCAACACCTAAATTAGCATTTTGTTGATCATTATAATCCATTAATGCACGAATTATATTAGATAATGATGCATTATCCTCAACAATAGTCTTGAAAATGAGAATATTATTTGAAAACAAAAAGCATCAATAGAAAAAAACAATATCTTACATCACGTTCAGAAAGAATTTCTTTAACACTTTGTTTTCCACATGCTTTAACATATGAGCTAAGTACTAATTCTAAACTTTCCTTATCATTTTTCTAACAAAAAAAAATCAAACAAACTATTCAATAGAAAATATAGAATAAAGGATAATATATCTTACAAATTTTTGATCATTTGCAATTAAATCTAAGAACGATATTTCTTGTGGATTAGTATCGACATTTATTGGTAAATTTAATTTTATTTCATAACACAGTGTTGGTAATTGTGATAAATCTCGAGTTTTTTTTCCTGGTAAAGACATCTGTAAAAAATAAAAATGAAACAAGAAAATGAAATTTTTCATGCAATCATATTTTATTCTGTTTATTTAAAAAAAAATAAGAAAGGAAATTATGTGGTTTGCTGATATTAATTGATAGATGATCAATGAATGGCTAAGATAAAAGTGAATTGAATATTTTTATTTTTTATAGATGTCACTTTAATGTGGCATATAAGAATTCTTCATCATCTTCTTTGATTTTATTTTCACCATCGATTACTTGTACTTTAATTGCAGGTAAAAGTTCAATACTATCCTCATTTGTCGTTAAATTATCTACAGAAATATACGTATCAATTTCTGTAATTGGAAGTCCTGAAGGTTTTAAACGAGTATATAGAACTCCTGATGTACTTGGCAAGTCACTTGTAGTCACAATAGTTGATGAACGTTTTGTTCCACGAGTACCTACTAAACTACTATTAGTTGAATATGATCCATGTGTTTGTCGAACGTGATACATCAGTAAAGTAATTCCTACAATTAATATAACAAATGCTAAAATTGGACCCGTAAGAATTACTATCAATGGTTGATAGTTTGAATAGTTCATTTTTGATTCTCCATGAAGAATTCCTAACAATGTATGATTATAAGATGTAGAATTAATTTCAGTATTATTAGTATTATTATTAGTATTATTATTAGTATTATTATTAATAAGATCTTCATTAGTTAGATTACTTGTCGTGCAATTTTCACAAAATGGTAAATTTGTTTCATTCGGTAAAATTAACATATCTGTTGCATTTACAACAATTATTTGTGTTGTTGAAGTTATGGTGATTGATTCAGTTTTGCTTTCGACTTGTGATTTATTTATATTAAATATTGTTTCATTAATTGATATTATTTTTGGAATTATTGTTCGAATCGGTTCACATTGACAAACAGGATGACCACCATTATGACAACGATAAAAAGTTGTAAATGAACCTGATGAACGTGCAAAATAACGTAAAACGCATTCATTTGGATCATTTTTATCACCAAAAAGTAATCGTAACCAATGTTTTCTATTTGATTCATCTGTTGATCCAATAAGTAATTTATTTTCTAATAAATAATAAAAAAGTTCAATTAAAATATCAGCAAATGTTCGACCAAGAAATCTTGTTGCATTTATATTTCCCCATTCATGGGAATCATATTTAACAAGTGTACTATTCGAATATTGATTATAACATAAACGTTCACCTGATCGAATATTATAAATAAATGACGAATGAACATAATAACATATTTTATTAAATAAAACAAATTCTGGTGGACATGATAGTATTTCATCAATGAACAGTTCTGATTCATTATTTCTAAATATGCACATATATATCAATTGATTATAAAAAAAAAAGAAAACAAGTTATATTTCTTTGTCTGAATACACGAAAAAAGCAAATATAAGTTTACAATAACTAATAAATAGCGAGATGAATAATTATTAGATTATCATTCATTATAAGAAGTTAACAATTGTTTCAAATCAAAATGACTATCTCAACGTTTACCAAAATATTATTTATACGCTAAATAGTAAAAAGTATTCAAGCATCTGAAAATACGACTAATTTTTTTTTATCAAATAAAACATTTCAGTCTTTACGGTGTTAGTAAAGATTTTCAAAATTACATTGGTTTTTGGAAGTTCACTTCTTATAAGCAATTTCAAAAAATATGCATTGTAGAAACTACGCCTCTATGATCCAATATAGTTGTTATAATAATAGTTAAAATGTTTTAGACAAAATATTGCAAAAGTCATAAGTTCGAACCTGACTACCGGCTATTTCCAAAATGATGATATTCCGAGTCTGATAATATTTCTATGATTTTCAAAACTTATCAAATAAACTACACAATTGATCTTATCTGATTGGATATACCGGTATTAAGTATGTCTACATACATCATTTTAAATTCTTCTTCATATGGTATTGCAGATTCAAGAGGTTTTTGTGCACATAAAATATACCCAGGTGATTGTACAGCATTACATTGAATAAGTTCATATGAAATTTTATTTGATTCTATTCGAATAATAATCATACAAAGATTATTTGATAATAATGTTAGATTTTCAGATTTCAATAAATCATTAAAAACATACGTTGAATTTTGATCAATCCAAATAAATGTTCTTGTATGTGTTATCCATGATGATTCCATTAAATAGTTCCATTGTTCATATGTTCTTATAACTAATGGCAAACATTTTTGTTCATTATTTATTATTGAGAAATTCATTTCTTTTTGAAATAAAATAGATGTAAAACACATATAAAATGTTCTATCGAATACGAATGAAATTGAATTTGATACCGAACAATAATGTTGAACATCAATTTTAATTAAAGTATCAACATTTGTTTTTGAATAATATTTTTCACATAAATTTGAAAATCCATGACATATATAGGGAAGAAATGAACAATGTATTAATGGTTTTCGTAATGCAATTGGTTTTATTGTTTGAGAAATTTTAACTGGTAAACAATAACAAGATTTTTTACGTGATAAAAAAAATGAAAAAAAATTTGTACGACGATTTTTTTGACAATGCTTGTGACATAAATCAATAGCTTGAATATAATCAACATCATTTAACCATAAATCAACACGAATTAATTGTATACCATATAAATAATAACAACCATCTAATGACCAATCATCACTTGTTGATGATAATAATGTCGGAAATATATAAAGATCATTAGTTAGAGAATAAATTTTTATATCATTTGATCTACAATTATTAATTGATAAAAATTCACCTAGATATTCATTGAATTCATATGGTTTATTAATTGTATATAAACAAATACAATTTGTTTGATTATTAAACATTAATATAATCCATCGTCGACAAAGACGAAAACATAATTCAATTGTCATATGTGAACTAGAAAATGTTTGATAAGGTAATAGAGAATTTTCTTGAATATTATTAACAATAAATTGTTTATCTGATTTTAATATTAAACAACCAATTTGAGAATATTTTTTAATTGATAAATCTTCTTGACTACTTAATGATGTTACAAAATTGATAGAGTAGAAAAAGAATAATAGTAAGAACATAGCTTGTTTTCGTTTTTGTTTAGTTTTATTAAATAAAAAAAAAAAGAACATTTTTTCGATAGTATTATATTTTGATAAAACACAAAAAAAAGAAGAGGTGGAACAGTTGCTTTATAAACTATTAAATTTCACCAATGCTTATGCTTTGTTGAGTTTATTTTCTTGATTGAAGTCTCAGAATGACGTTATATTCAGAACAAATCAAACCTTAATAATTTAGTTCTTATCTACAAGTTGTACTTAAATTATTCCAATAGAAGTGAACATGCCATCTAACCGTTAGAGTATGAGTCGATATCTAGACTTTGAAAATATTGTACTCTCGTGAACTTTGTTGTTCAGAGTTTCATGAAAGATGTAGTGAGTAAATTGATAAGCAATAGTCATAAAAAATATATATCGATTTTTCTCGTAAATAATTTATGATCATTTCAAAGTCCATATCTGGATCGATATTTCAAGTTTTATTGATCTGTTTTGTAATTATATCTTATTATTTTGTACCTCAAGAGTTGTATTATGCACTTAATATGTTAATGAATAAAGCATAAGCCCAGTAATTCAACAATAAGGATACATTCGACTAGTAGAACAAAAAACATTAATTGTTGGGAAGAAACCAAGTAATTATTTTTCCTGTGCCTTCAGCAAGATATTCTTAACATACAAACTGTTCCTTGAAAATCAATCAGATCTACATTATTATGAAACCTATTTACTATTGATGGTTTCGTATGTAAAACGTTGAGATTAATGCCTAGAGGGTCAATTATCTTCTGTTTATGATATATTAAATAAATTGAATAAATCGATAGCGTCGTCTTAAGCACAGGATTTGCAATGGTTAAATCCAACTAGCCAATAGAATTTATTGTTTCTGATGTAAGCAAAAGGAAGCACGAGGTCAAAATGTATTTCAACAATATGAAATGCAATTGAATATATTCAATAAATAATGGCTTGTCAAGTCAGTAGCACTCCGGATGTACATTTATTATCAATAATAAACGATAATCAAGATGATCATGAATGCTGTATTTGTTTATACGATAAGTAAGTAAATTTAATGAAACTTTAAATTTATCTAAATATTATTCTTTTACAAGAAATTTAACTATTGTATTTGATTGTAATCATCATGTATGTCTTCCATGTTTTAAACAATATGGCATAACAAAACTTAATAGTCGTCAATTTAAATATGATCCAAATATTGGATACAGTCTTGGATGTCCATATGGTTGTCCAAATACACTTCTTCGTGAATTGCATATTTTTCGTTTAATGGATAAATCAAATGTATGTATTTAAAATGAATATAGATTTCAATTTTTTATTTATATTAGTATGAACGATATAAAACATTTGGCGCTGAAGAATATGTATTTTATCATCAAGGAGTTATTTGTCCAACTCCATCTTGTGGTTGTGGACTTATACTTGATGAAAGTAATTTAAAAATACTTTGTCCATTACCTATTGGTTGTGGGGTAAGATGAAAGATAGATTTATTTGACATCCATTTTTTTCAATTTTATCGTAGAAAACATTTTGTCGAAGTTGTAAAACACTATGGAAAGATGACACGATTCGCATTTGTCCATGTCAAGACGATAGACAAAATGATAATCAAGCATATTCAGTAAGAAGACTATTGGAAATATAAATAAAAGTTTTATGATGTTTTACTAGTTTTGGAATCAATTATTTGGTCGTCGACGTGAATCATCACTAAGTACTTTCAAAAAATGCCCTAGATGTTCTGTAAATACTGAAAAAGATGGTTCGTAAAAAAAGCCGATAATTTAATTGTTGAAATAAAAAATATTTATTATTTGATATATAGGTGGTTGTAATGCAATGTCTTGTACGCTTTGTGGCCTGACATGGTGTTGGATTTGTGAAATGGAATTTCGTACTGATTGTATTCAATCTCATTGGTTTTAATTATTACGAATTTTTTAAAAATTATTTTCTAGAATAAAAAGATATTTTGAATATTGATATAAATCTTCTGTTCATAATATTACGCATCTACTTATTAAAAAATTGATTTTTATCAGTTAGAACTCAAGAGTATCCCTTATTATTATCGATAAAAAAGACATGCAGCTGTTTCGTCTTATTGGCAGAGAAAAATTTTCTTTTTTATATCATGTAGTTCGGTTTTATCATTGAAGATACACCAAATAAATTTCTATAGTTATTTTGATTGTCTCTTAGATTGTTTTGATTGAATGAAAATATACTTCTCAAAGTGTTCGTGCATCAGTAATACAAATGAACAATGACTATTTAGATAAATAAGAAGAAATAAGGAAGCATTAATGTTAGAGAATGATCTATTTAGTACCAACCAACCTCATGAAATATGCACTAATAAAAAAAGTTATCAATTGAAACAGATGGTTCTGTTACATCCTAATTAATGTATTAACCAAAATATTTGGAAAATAACAAAGCATGTAAAACAAAAATTTTCATCAAACAACTAATTAAAATTTTTCTGAAAATGATTTTTTTCTGCTAATAATTTCATTAGCATTCAAGGGTTTACTTTGAGATACAAGAACATGATAAGTAATGAGAAAATTAAATCAGATTGAAAGGTTAGAATATCTCCATTTTGATTTCTTTTTTGTATAATAATGTCATGGGCAATTGATTATTCCCATCGACAAACATTGTCTTCTCAATATTTGCATGACTAATTTAGTCAACAAACTATATGCACGAAGGGATGCTATTTCTTCTGCTTATTTTAGAATTGTCATCACTCGTTCTCTATCTATATATGTTGCTTTTTTTCTAGTTATCAATATTATAGTTGATGAAAAGAGTGTCTTTCATCTCGTTTTCTTTCGTCTCTATCTGCTCTCTTCTTTTTTCTTCTTCTTCTTCGTCTCTGTTTCTTACACAAACTGCATTTTTTTTCTTGCTTCGATTCGAGACCACATAAAACCAAACGGAAAGAAAAAAAGAGAAAATGACTATTACAAAGTTGATCATTATCAATTATTCGTCATTATAATCTATAGAAAAAACTACAAGGTCATAGCCACAGCTGGATTCATCGAAACACGAATGATACTATTCATTATTAAAGTACTTGTTGTTGTTCATTCGAGATGAAGCAATATTTTTTGTATTCATTTATTGTATTTAATATCATATTAACCTTAGGTAATTTAATAATCAAAACATAAGAAATAATCAATTGTATTCTCTTTTAGTTCATTGTCAAAAAGCTAATGAACTTTATCATCAATTAATGTCAACTTATAATAAAAATGTTCGTCCAGTAAGAAATAATTCAGATCTTGTTAACGTCAAAATTGGTCTTAAACTTATACAAATAGCTGATGTTGTATGTATATAAAATAATCGATCACTCATTTTTTCTTCTATATAACTTATATATATCGGGATCATAAATTGAGTTGCAGCAAAGGAAAGAACATAATTTATAGGGATGCACGTGTTTCCTCTTGTAAGGAGAACAATTGTAAGTATAGAACAAAGACGTGGATCTGTCAAATATACATGCCTCAATGCAAGTAACGAGTAAACAGGATGAAAGAGCCCATCTGTCAACCGGTATATGACTATTGATACGATTAGTAATAGTGCCTAATCTTCTAACGATAACAAGATAAGCAAAATAAGACATTAATAACGTATTATTTATCAATTTCATTCAGGATGAAAAAAATCAATTAATGCAAACACATGTGTACGTGCTTCATGTAAGTCATTCTGTGTTTTTTTTAAATTTAATGTCTTTGGTACATTATATCTAGGAATGGCAAGATTTTAGTTTTATATGGTCACCGGAAGACTTTGACGGTGTAGAATATATACAAGTTCCTAGTGAATTAATATGGAAACCTGATCTTGTTCTTTATAATAGTAAATCAGATATTATTTAAATAGATAATCAAAATCCTGTTTTTTTGTTTTATGTCAGATGCTGATGGTGATTATCAAATTACAACAAGATCGAAAGCACAAGTTCGATATGATGGAGTTGTACAATGGGTTCGTTTATGTTCAATATTATTTCTTGTTTTTTTAAGATTGAAAAAAACCTAGTTTTCATTAAATAGAATCCTCCAATGGTTTTTAAATCTTATTGTTTTATTAATATTCAATATTATCCATTTGACACACAAAATTGTACACTTAAATTTGGTACATGGTCATATCATGTAAATCTGTAAAAGAACATGTATTGTAGTTAAATTTTTTGTTTCCTTAGGGTTCACTTGTTAATTTACAATTTTTAACTAATAATGAATCTTCTATTCTTGAACGTGGATGGGATCTTGAAGATTATACTCCATCTATTGAATGGGAAATTTTAAGTAAGATAATCAATATAATTATATATTTTTTTTTCTTTCTATTTTTTTAATAAACTCTTTTAAAGATCTTCGAGCTATTCGACATGAAAAATTATATGCATGTTGTGTTGAAATTTTTCTTGATTTAACATTTACATGTACTGTCCGACGGAAACCGTTATTTTACATAGTTAATTTAATAGTACCATGCGTTAATATATCTGTTCTTGCTGTACTTGTGTTTCTTTTACCATCGGATAGCAAAAAGAAAATAACATTATCTATTTCTATTCTTGTTGCTTTACTTGTATTTTATTTACTACTTATTGAACTTATTCCACCAACATCATTAGTTATCCCATTACTTGGTAAATATTTATTATTTACAATTGTTATTGTTAATTTATCGATTATAATAACAATCATAACACTTAATGTACATTTTCGCCGCCATTCAACAGCAAATATGTCACCATTAATTAGAAAACTTCTTTTAGTTTATTTACCGAAAATTTTATTTATGGAGCGACCACCTATACCACCTAGATATGTATATGTTAAATCCAAATCCTCTGAAGATATTGATAATCAATCAACAACATTTCCATGGAAAAATGATCAACGAAGACATATTGCTAGAATAACAGCTGATCATATTGCTTATATTGCAGAACAAATTGAAAATGCTCAAAATGAAAAAGAAGTGAGTTTTGTTTAACATAGATTTGTAGTCAACGATTGAAGTATGAGAAAATCTTTTTTTGCCACATATTTGACTTTATGCTTGAAAAGTCAATTGAATTTTGATTTCAATTACAGATAGCTGATAGGCATGCACCAATTTCTAGAACATAATGTCGAAGATGACATTTTTTTCCTTATTAAAAATGTAGTTCCTATGGATTATTTATTTTAAGCATGATGGGTTTCTTTTTGCTTTATCGGCAGCTGTAGTCGAAACTCATAAAATACAAAACATAGTTTTTGGAATTGACCAAAAATTTGTATCTTTTAATTTTGTTTCTGATTGATTCCAACTGATTTTAAGATCTGTGTTTTTCATTAGACAAAACCTAAGAATAGCTTCGAATCAAGACTAATCACAATTCGTATAAAGAATCACTAGGAGTTCAGCAATTCTCAATCCTGAAAATATTCTAAAGTTCGATTAGAAATTCAAGAAATTAGTTTATTTCTGCTTGCAAAAAATATATAGCCAGTCTGGAGACTTACCGAACTTCTAACGGTTCTGGAGTTTTGAATGCTCTTTCTGAAGCGATTCCTAGTTTTTGCCTAATCCAAAATTTTCTATTTCATGAATGTCGACTACAGCTCTTCGGATAGAGCAAAAAACAAACTGATCATGATTGATATAAAAAATTTACAGGAACTGCATTCCTAATGAGAAGGAAAATATCATTTTTGACATCATATTCTAGGAACTAGTGCATTCCTAATAACTAAGTATGGAAAACTTGATTTGGTACATGTTTAAACGGGAAATCGATGAAAACAATATAAAAAAGAAGATGAAAGTTGGTTGTGTTTTTATTGAATCATATGTTGATATAATAAATGCGTCTAAACATGCAGAAAACAGTCTATTAGAAACTAATTGATCTTAACAAACTACTCACGGGAGAACATATGCAACTGTTGGATGCTGTCTGACTTAATGTAATGGCGTAGACTAGGTCTCTATTAGACAGTAAGCAACTTTTAAAGGAGTTTGAGTCCATGACCTTTTAATCAGAGATGGAACCGGTACCGGTTACCGGCCGGTCCGGTCCGGTCCGGTCCGGTAACGGTACGAGTTTTAGACCGGCCGGTCTGCCGGTAGACCGGTCCATTACCGGTCTACCGGTCGATTGCCGGTCTGCCGGTCGATTGCCGGTCTACCGGTCGATGACTGGTCTGTCTTGTTTACTGTCCTGCTTTTATTATATATAGTTATATGAAAACTTCTATTTGTTCGAATATTATCATGTCGTTAGAATTTTACATGATCGCTTTTATATCGTTATTATTCTTTTCTTTTGTTCCATGGAATTAAAAAAGAAATGTCGGATCAGTCGGTATGTACCGGTACGAGTTTTCGACCCGCCGGTCTGCCGGTAGACCGGTCGATCACCGGTAGACCGGTCAACTGCCGGTAGACCGGTCGATCGCCGGTAGACCGGTCGATTGCCGGTAGACCGGTCGATCGCCGGTAGACCGGTCGATTGCCGGTAGACCGGTCGATCATCGGTAGACCGGTCGATCGCCGGTAGACCGATTGATTGCCGGTAGACCGGTTCAACCGGTAGACCGGCCGGTCCGGTCCGGTCTGAACTTTTCAGACCGGTTCCATCTCTGCTTTTAATGATATAGTTGCTGAAAGCACGATTTCTTCGAAAAATCTATAACCAAGAGTTATGACATAAAATATTGTCTATTAATAGATTTGGTATTCCTGAAAGTTGCAACGAAATAATGAACATGTCGTTATCAAGATATTCAATTTCCAAGTACACTCAATTAATGTAGTGTTTCATGTTAAATTTCTGGTGGTTTTCGAAATTTCCTATATTAAGAAAGGCATGCTCATTTTCATTGGAACTTTCATGACTATTAAACGTGTCTTTGTAAGGAAACCATATGTCTGAATCCCTTTAAATGTTTCTTAATCTAGCCGAGACTTACTCGTAGCCTTAATATGAAGTTTAACAGCATCTGCCTGTTGTATATGTTTCCTTTTTAGTTATTTTCAAAGAAACAGAGTTTCTTTGGATCAAAATAGAAAGTGTCAATCATCATATGATTCCTATAGAAGCTAAATAAAAGATCTATTCAAATATTCGTCCATTCGACAAGATTTCATAAACAAGATTGTAACTCATATTTAAACTTTTCATCTATAAAATAAATTTAATTTTATGTTTCTAATAAATAGCTTCGCTTGAGTTCTATTATCATTTCTATTTTTATGTATTTTCTATTATTATATTTAGATCGTCGAAGAATGGCGTTTTATTGCTTTAATTTTTGATCGTCTTTTTCTTGTAATTTTTGTATCTGTTAGTTTAATTGGTACACTTGCATCATTATTAAAAGCTCCGTCATTATATAAGTCCAGAGCACCTATCGATCCAATGTGTTATTTATATTATCCACCAATAAATGATTCTCAATGGATGAAAAGATGTGGTGCAGATTATTTCCAAAGTTTATCAAATGAACAATTACTTTCAAACTTTCAATTATAAAACAATTTTTATAAAGGATAAATAAAGAGAAAGACATTTAAATTTTGATAAAAGATATAGACAAATGACATACAAAGAAAATTTCATCATTGCGAATACAACCAGTTAAACAAATAAAAGACAAAAATTTGACATATTGTTCTCGAGGTTATGTTATGTATTAGACTTTCATTTTTAATTTATTCATCAACTATAATATTTAATCTACAAACAGAATTCCAAAACGAAAAAAAAGACTCAAAACAGAATTTCAATTTGATATTCTAGTTAATGTCCTGCAACCGGGTCGAATCCGGATTCGAGATTTTGACGTTTCAGAATATTTTGACTTTTTGCAAACTACTATATGTAAGCATATGAATGAAAATCGGTTCGATCATGATTCAGTAATTTAGTGTACCTGAAAACAGATCACAAACATGGAAAGCGACATTTTTTGACTGGTGAGGGACGGTTCCCAAGTCATCCATTGCTTTTAAGTCAGGACTATGTGCATTATGTAGGCCCTAATGATCTATCAACACTTTAAAAAGAATTCGGGCTGACATTTTATTGTTGTCGAGATACTGCATTTTTTTGCGGTATTTTTAAGCGAAATGCTGTGATCCCCCTCACTAACATCAGAAAAACTGAGTTTGGATTGCCGATTTGAAACTTTGTGTAGCGACAGGCCACAATGAAAATATTTTATTGTCAAAGTTTCAGATCTTCTGATTGCTCGTATTCTGAAATGATAGCCTCGGAATCTGCCAGTATTATAAGTGATGTACGAGCATACTTTTACCATAACTGTACCTTGGCATAGTAACAACCTAGGGATTTGAAACTTTGACAATAAACTATTCTCATTGATGTCTGCCACTAAATAAAATTTGAAGTCAAAATTCCAATTTCAGTTTTTCTTATGTTCATGTGAGGGGACCACGGCACTGAACTTAGAAAATATCGTCAAAATGAAGTATCTCAACAGCAATAAGATATCAGCCCAAATTCTTTTCAGGATGTTTATAGTTCATTAGGGTTGACATAATGCACATAGCCCTGACTTAAAAGTAATGGATCGCTTGGTACTTTTCCTTGTAAGAGAATTCGTTTTTAATGAAAACTCATCTGCATATGATCAGGAACCCTATGACGAAGTAATTGAATACATGAAGAAGAGAATAAATTATCAAAAAGATGAACATGTATTACCTTGTTGGAGAAAGCACTCATGTATGTATTCGCAACTATAATGTTTGCCATCAACACTGAGTTCCATTCCAGCATTATTAACAACAAGCACACTCATGCTTAGCGAAATTGATCGGGTTTTAGAAGCAGAAAGACACCAATTGAACCTTAAATCACTTGCTTTATTATGGAATTTGAGACAATCTCTTCTTTTTGTTGCTGATTATGAAAGAAACTAAATAGTACTTTGAACAATCCACAAGTAGTGACAAAGGTATTTCAATTCTTGATAAAAAGCTTCGAGAAACTTTCTTTCTAGATAGTCTGACACTAAAAGCAATCTCTATGATAATTGATCATTCTTCAACTCATATCATAATAAAAAAGTTTCATTAAAACCTGTTTGGTGATGATGTCTGATGATTAAATTAGTTCATATTGCCTTCGATATGTATTCTCTTCTTGATTTTCTCGTTGTTTTTCTTCTCTCTTGTTTTGAATTTTTTTTCTGGTCCCTTTTATGTTTAACTATCTAAATATATGTATACATATAAAAGACGCATGTCATGATTGTTTTATTTGCATCTGTAATCGATTAGGGTATTCTCAAGAAAGTAAAAGAAATAAAGTGCGATTTAGTCTTGGCACGGTTCATTTCTGTTTTAGATGAATCAGGAAAATTTTCGCTTCTAAATTAAAGTGTGCAGTCCACTTAATATTAAGGCAAGAATTATTCGTAACCAATTGCGTTCTGTTTGTGGTGACGAAAATTTCTTGTCTTAGGACAATTGAAAGATAGTCTAAATAGTTTTGTCAAAGTCAATAAGAGATTAATAGAAGACAACATGAACTAATTTAATCGTCACACATCCATAATCAAAGAGATCTTATAGAAATTTTATTATTATGATATTAGTTGAAAAACGATCAAATACCATAGAAAAATAGAACATGTTTTTACTATTAGACTAAATAGAGAGAAAGTTTCTTTAAACATATTACAAAGAATTAAAATACGTTCGCCACTATTTTTAGATTGCCTTAAATATATGATTTCATATAAAGTAAATACTTGAAAGCTATATTATAACTCTAAAAATATCCACCGAATGTTCATTAGCTTCGATCAGAGTCTGGATATGAAAAATCGTCCCTGTGTAGGATACTACTAGGCCAATGTAACTCTTTTCTGCTGCTAAAACTAAAATGTCAACTACATCAAATTAGACTCAACGACAATAATCGAATGTGACACATAATTACTCTAATTAGTCATTAATGACCTTGCAAAAGAATAGTCTCAAATTCTAGCTTCATGATCTCTTTTAATGGAATGCACCTGTGCATTGTTGATGACGGATAGTACTTTGTAAAACAACACTAGAACCGGCCTTTAAAAATTTCTTGAAACAACTAGCAAAAAAATCTTTGTACTAGCCGTTATATTTAACTCTCTCATATCATAATCATAATTATATAAAGATGATTCCACCGTATTGCTCATAATATTAATGTTTTTCCTTTGCTTCTCAGTCTTACCCTGTGTCTATTTGATATCAAACAAAAACTCATTTCAGATACTAGACGCAATATTTCTTTGAGAATATATATATATGTTCTATATAGTTTTGCTTATACTTTTGGTACTGGCTTGACTGTATAATTGAGTCAAAACAGTTTGATACGCATTGTGATAACAATTATGATACTACTACATTTGTCGAATTAAATGAACAGTATGTTCCAATATGAGTCATTTTATAGTGATATTCATAACAAGAGGAAATCTGTAATAGTTGTTTATCGATATGATTCAAAACAACGGACAATAATTTTTATTCATACAAGTTCATACTTGGAGTTTATACAAGCAAAGTCTGTTCAGATTACAAAAGGTAGACCTTCGAAGAGGACACTGAATAAAACAAAGAAGTTAGAAAAAAAAGACAAATGAAAAATTTATTGATTCAAGATAATGACCGAATATTTTGTCGGCTCTTTTTTTATGTTTATATGTTTAATTTAGTTAAGACTGAGAGGAAGAATGTTCGTCTAAAATGATAAAGATCATTATTTGCATATTGGAATTACCTTCACCTGTGTTTTAGCAAAGAAATAAAAATAATATATTAGCTCATGTGAAGACTAGTTTTATTAAGATCTCGATGAATTAAAAGATTGCAAATTGTGTCTTGATATGTTCAGATGACATGTATGATATTAGCCTGAATAGTTGATGTGATAGAATCGACTCATTTTGGGACGTAAAACACAGTCATTGCCTATTTGAAACATTTATCGGTATTTCTGATACAATCATCCATGAAATATAAAAATCTGAACATATATTTTGTCTATAACATCTAAACAAAGTATCACTTTGAGAGCACATCTTTCCAACGAACGAGACAATGAAGAAAACGAATTGAAACTCGAACAAATTTGGATTTTGAAAAAAGTTTCATAGTTAATTATTATTATTGTTATTTATATGTCGCATGATTGTATATTTATTTATTTGTTGTTCTGTAATTGAAAATGTTTGACAAATACCTATTCACCATGACTACTAGTAGTCAAATAGTTGATTTCTTGTATCAGGAAAAGCAAATCGATCAAAAGTGAGTTTTTTCCTTATGAAATGCTGAAACGTTGAGAGAAATCAAAGAACAAATTTATTATTAAAATATTTCTTGAATATCAACATTAAAATAAGCTAGTACTTGGTAGCTTGTTATTATTCTGTTTAAAGTAGCGTTGTACGAATCTTTGACCAATTCAGCTTCTATACACATCTCAATTAAACTGTTGTTACTATTATGATTAAGTTGAAGTCCGTAAATATCTTTTTATAAACTTAAAGGAGTAAACATGATATTACAGCCAATTTTTATCAGCAAAAAGCATTTCATGTCTCGGAAATCAAAACTAGAAATTATCTGAATTATTCATTGTTTTTATGCATTTCATCTAAATACGTAATGACATAATCGGTACCATGCCGCTACAAATAATTCATATCTACTTTATTAAGTGGTTGTTTAATTGTCATATCAAAAAGTTTCATTTTCACACATTTGATTATCTTCACACTTTTCAAGATATTTTAGCATATCGGCATTCGATGATAAAAAGTGATCACTATTTATCAAGAGATAATTTGTCTGAGTCAACAATGAGTAGTGCTCTATTGTTTTCTTCTTAAACAATTCGACTAATTGTGATTGTTTATCTTTGCAATAAAAGTCAGTTGTTTGCTCAATCATATAGAGGGTGCTCAAAGAGTGAATGGTCCACTTTTATTTTCTATCGTTAAGGCATTTATAAAAATTCTTTTAAATGTGACTTTAATCTCATTGGATAGAAAATTTGATGCTTTACGAAACTGTTTAATTTGTATTTCAATTAAATTTTTGCGTTAGAATAGGGTTGACCTAATCAGTACGTAGTTAATCGTATAAATCCGAAAGTCAAGACAATCAAAACATTTGAGATAATATCTTAAGAAATGGATCTACTGATTTTCGACATATAATAAAATATTCTATACAAAATTCGGCAATGATTAATGAAACTTTCAAAGTTTTAGAAAAAAAAAAACTATGTAAGAGAAAAATTTTCAAAACCAAAAATGTCAAAATATCGAATACAACTTCATTCGAACAGATCCGAGTGATTATTTTACATTGATTCAAAACGATTGAAATGTTATAACTATGCGTAGTGAGCACGTATATCACTTCTCATAGAATTCAACTCTACATTCGATCCTACAACATTCAGTATTTGATGCTCAAAGTTTGATTGGTGAAAAAATAATGCACGATGTAAAGTACACTATTCTTTACATATTTATGTGCAATAGGTTACTATTACTATTGACTCTGATGGACACATACTTATGTAAACAGGTTCTTTTTTCTAGAAAAACAATAATTCATAGTTTGACAAGTCAATAAGTAGTAACTTCTTAAAGTTTGTAACATCATGAAAAATACTTTTCGAACAACACAATCCATAGTTTTGTAAAGAATTAAATTCTCTATTCAATGAGATTAGAATCAAAATTTATAATAAGTGTCAAATCCTACGAAAATAAAAAATAAACGTAAACCATTTATTATACAGCATCCTTTAGTATACCATAATGTATTTGCATGTAACAAATGAGTTATATGTCAGACGATATTCCTTCCAGATGTTTAATGATATGTCTCTATTCCTAAAAAAAAGTAATCGAATGTCCTTTATCTATGCCAACATAATACATAGAGTAATGTAAAACTTTTCAGATCTTATTCAGGAAATATAATACAAGACAAATAATAGTTGAAAATATCTTTTTCATAAACATTTTGATCGTTATATCTAAAGTATATTTGAAGTTGAGAAATACCGATGTTCAATATAACGAGTGACATCTATATGACAAAGAGTCAATAGTTTATTAGTGACAAATGATACTCATTCTTTATTCACCATTCCTGAAATATAACATTGAAGTTATATTCATTTCAGTCATAAACTATTTGCAAAGTCTTATGGAACTGTTTCCATTGGTGTATGATTGTCGAAAACAATTGTACACCAATTGAGTTGAATTGAGTTGAGCTGTCTTCTATCGATTGATATGAGTCACAGGCTTCTTTTTTTGTTGTTTTTATTCAGTAGCGACTAACGGTTTGTGTGTTTGTCGACTACGATCGATCGATTCACTTTATATAGTAATTAACGAAGCATGATTTGTCATATTTTTTTCGTCTCATATTTAATTTTCATCAGAGAGAGAGAGAAAAAAATCACGATCCGTCTTGTCAAAAGTCACAATCCATTTTGTTCTTTATATATTTTTTTAGATGTCTTGGTACAAATATGATGACTCTTCACTGGAAACGACATCATAGTATTGAAAGCTTGGACGACGAGACTAGTATCGAATTAACGGTTAGTCTAGAGAGTACTTTTCTTATAATATTGTATCGAAATAGAATCTTGTCCTTGATCTATATGACATATTAATGTGATTAAATAAGCAAAAATTTCATTGGAATTTAGACAATTTACGTGACTAGAATGAAAAAAATTGCATAACAAGAAACAAGAGAAAGACAATTCGTTGATGTTTTACTTATTAGGTTGTTTTTTTTCTGTTGCTAAAAGTGTTATTCATACTGATAGACATCATACAGAGTATTATATCTGAATTGAGAGAACGAGAAAAAAAGGAAAAACAACTTCGACCATACGATTCAGTTATATATTATCAATCTAAGTTATGCAAGTAACTGAAGAAGTAGAAAATAATAATCATAGATCGATGAATATCTTATATTGGGTAATCCTTTTTTTTGCTTTTTTTTTTAAATAAAAAATTAGGTTCTTCGACAACATTGGAAACAAATTTTACAAATATTTCAAAAATCTTTAATTGATCAAGATGATATTACTTGTGTTATATCCCATTTTCAACATGCAGTCACATTACTTACCAATGAAGTCGCTAGTCACGATCGTCCCGGTCCTGTACTCTTATATTTTATTGCTGAATCTATACTTGATACATTCTTTATTTGGTCATTAAGTTGTCCTGAATATGCATCAGAACTTAAATATCATCAATTACGTTGTTTTGAATTTCTTCTTAGTCGTTCTCAACATGAACTTCTTTTTCATAAACAAATTGTATGAAAACGAAACAAAAGCAAAATTCATATATATTGAAATATCTTTTTCTAGTTTAAACCATTGCTCAATCTTCTTCGATCATGTGAATCATCAACATCATTGGAGCTTATTGAAAAACATATGGTCGTTGTGCTCAATCAAGTATGAATATAAGATATAATATGTTCATTCACAACATAGATTATGTTATAATGGTTCTACATATTATTCGGTTGCCAGATTAATAAGCATTGCTGGCAACAGAGTTCTATTCTTAATAATAGCATTCGTTACCTCTATATGGCAGCCTAATGTAATGTCTTTTTAACGCAAGCATGCGTATATCTAAGAGGACAACACATGGAAGATATATGCTATTGACTAGATACAAACATAGATCTAATCTATTGATTATTCTTGATGAACGTATAAATTTTAATACAATCTAGTAATGGATTCTATTTCAGAAGAAGTAATATATTCGAATTACAGTGCAACTCAATAGAAATTCTTCCTTTCTATTATTCTTGCTTAAGACTATTGTAGACTGGTTTGTTATTCCGTAATCAATATATACTGAGAACGCATGTAATTTCACTGCATCGCATAACATATTAATCATAAATAACAAATAAAGTACAGAAAACAAAATATATGTAAGAAAAAAGAATTTATATATATTTGTTTTTACTACAATGTTCAATAAGTGGAAATCGTATATTTGTTTCTTCTACGTATGAACACATGACTTCAATTATGGTCTGAGTATTTGTTTAGATAAAGTGATTGATAAAAAAAAAGAAGCTTTTGAATACTCAGACACTAGTTGAACTAATGTGGTTATACGTAGAAGAACAAAATAGAGACACAAATGTACAATTCTCTCTTACTGTATATTGTAATAAAAATATATAGCTTCTTTTTTTTCTGATGTATTTTTTCGTTTCTGAACTTGATGTCATTTATGATTAATATGTTATGTGATGCTGTTAAGTCTTGACTTTCTCATTATATACTAAGTATAGAAAACAAAAACCAATCTGCAGTAATCTTAAGCAAGAATAACATAGAGGAAAGCTTTCAATTTATAACACAATCTAAAAGGAGTATATCAATAACACCTCATTATAATATATGAACTATTTCCTTATTGCAGTTCTGAAGAATTAAGTAAAAGGATGGTAAAGAAATTTGTCTAGAAAATAGATAGAATAAAACAATCTTCCTGTGATTAGCAAGAGCAGCTAGATCGTATTGAATATTTTAATCCCGCAGAGATTGTGCTAACAAAATTTTTTTCTAGGTTTGTGTCAGTATTACAAAAAGTCCTGAATTATTGGAATTTTGTTTTGATATCAGTGCTGAACATGGTCCATCAAGATTTATTATCTTCTCACTTTTAATTCCATTTGTTCATCGCGATGGACTTGCTGGTATGATACTTTCATATGTTTCGTTTTTAATTTATTTACCAAACGAGAAAAAAAAAACAAATAAAAATTTTCTGAGAAAAATTAAAGTTTGATTTCATTAAGAAACCTATCCCGTTGTTTAGATAAACCATGTACACAGGGTATTACAACAGGTGGGACATTTTTTTCTATCTTATTCAATAATCATTTAAAAGATTTATAGCATGCTTGGTTTGATTTGAAAAAGTCTAATTGTGTTTGTATTTGTATATTGTTTTCATTTATTTTATTTAGTATACTTTTTGTTTTGTATGATTTTAATTGAAATTATTTTAAGGTCAACAAGCTCGTGATGCATTGTTACTTATTATGCAATTATCAAATCGGAATGAATCTATAGCAAAATATATAGTAGAAAATACAAATTTTTGTCCGGTAAACAAATTTAGCATTACTTAGTTATAAAAACACAATAATAAATAAAAATAATTTTTTATTTTATTTTCATTTCTTAGATCTTAGCAACAGGTTTAAGTGCGCTTTATTCTGATTTACCACATCGTTTAGCAACACATAATGATGAATGGTTTATATTAACGAAACAAGAATGGTCAGAAAATGCATCATTAGTACAATTTATGAATTCATTACAATTTTGTAATGATGTTATTCAAGTAGATTGTTTTCTTTTTGTATAGAAAAAAAAGATGATTTAAAATTATATCTTTACTTAGATTGCTCATCCGATTATTGGTCATCATCTATTACAATATATTTATCATGGATTTCTTGTTCCTGTTCTGGGTCCAAGTATTCATCAAGTATGTTGTTTGTTTATTTATTTTTTGTTGATTTATTTAAGACAGCATGTTGGGGTGCTTAAAAATTGATAAAGATCTTTTTTAAACAACAATGCTAAATCTGTGATGTGTGGTTGTGAATGTGTGCAAATTTCTTCTTTCATAGGATCTTCATGAAATACCAGTGAAATTTTCTGATTTACAACAGTTTTCGGTAAATATTGTATGTCATCACATGAGAAATTTTAGATTTATTCTTCTCATTGCTTATATATTTTATTTTATTGTGCACCTTTTTTTTTTAGTTTTTTTGCATGCTACTTTCTCTATTGGAATTATTATTATTATTATTATTATTTTTTCTCTTTGCATGATTTAGATTTCTGACTGAGAGATGAAAATATATTTGTTAATGGTTTAATCTAATACTGAATTTTGTTTTGTCTATTAATATAGAATACAATGGATGAAGTTATTGCAGCAACAGCTTATTTGGATTTATTTTTACGTACAATTTATGAGCCAGCTTTATTAAAAGTATTTTTAAAATTTATACTTTGTGCTAAAATTGATGAAATGAGTTTATTGGATACGTTAATACATAGAATTAATTATACGACTAAAGTAAAAAAAAAAAGAAAACTTTCGAAAACAAAAAAAAAAATTTTTCTCATTTTATTTAGCTTGGATTAGTATCATTAAGTTTATTTTATACATTAATCAATCTCAATTGTGAAGATATTATGTATCGATTAATCTTTATGTATGATAAGATTTGTTTGTTTGTTTCGTATGAGAATACTTTTTTGAATTTTTGTTAGGTATTTGATACCATGTCGACATGTTATGTGTAGCCAACGACGTCATATAACTGATATGGAAATTTATGGAAAAAATGCAGAAAAATTTCTTACATTAAGACCTTCATTTGCAAATAAAAATAATAATACTAATAGGTAGGAATGTAATGAATTAAATGAATGTTTAGAAAAACCTAGATATTTGATATAAAAATATATTACAACTTTTGAATTTAAATCTCAATATCAGAAAATGACAAAGGATTAGTCTCATCGATTTCTGTAGATCCTGATACCTTTTTTTCTCGTATGCAAGATTCTTTATTGTGTGTACAGATTTAAGTCAATACCTCAATCGACGGTAGAGGCTGGAATCTTTAGCAACTATTTACAGAAAATAGTGGCGATGTGATTGGATAGATAGAACATGTTCGGTGATGGACGAGATATCTTAAGAATTTTGCACTCATCGATGACAAAGTTTTCGATTAAGGAGGACTTCCCGTCCTCCTCTAAACTGTTCGACTTTCTGCTAAACTTTCAGCCTCTTCCGCCTCTAGAAAATATCGACAACCATGATCGATGGCGGCTCAACCAATCGGCCTGCACATCTAGTTGTGTGTTTTCAATGAATACAAGAATATTACACACAAGACATATATTACTTAGAGACTTCTATAATTGCACACTAGCTACAGAATGATGTGATCACGAGCATTTTTATATCTTTTACTGTAAAAATATTTGAAAGTATTTCAATCTCTAAAAGTTTTGATCGATAGATAGTTTATAGATTATCGAAATAGATATAGAGTTGTGAAATTTTGTTTTATTAAATTTTGACTCAATTTTTCAGCACTGAAACTTCACGACCACGACAAACACGTGTTAGTTTTGATCAAAATGGTGAATCTAATGAACGATTCGAATGTACATTTCCAGCTTATCTTGAAGTATGAGAGTCAAATAAACTTTTCATTTTATTTCATCAGAATCTTTTTTTCTATTTTAGGATGCACATTTTAGTATCGTTCGTTGTCGTGTTGCTTGCCGTTGTTGGACAGCACCATATGATGGTGAAACACCATCTCCAGATACAATTGTTGAAGAAACAGATTTAATTTCATTAGCAAGTAGTATATCATCATTAAATATTGATAATAATAATTCAAAAAAATCTGATTATATATCAAATCAACAACAATCAATAAATTTAGGAAAAAATGTTGCTATATCAAATGATTCTGGTATTCATGTTGATAGTCTTGAAACAAATTCTCAACTAGGACATAGAATAAAATCAACTAATGAGTCTTTTCAATTACCATCATGGCTTGTTAACAATCAACCTATACCTGATGAATTACTTGTAAAACATTCGATGGCTAATCGTTCAATATATCATCATGAATATAATAATAATGATGATGATAATATTGATTATTATCATCATCCATCAGCATTTTATGCTTTTTCATTTATTGATATTTCAGGTGATAATGAAGATACATGGAGTATAAATTCATCCAATACACCTAATACTCATATACGTGATGAAATAAAAACATGTGTTGAAACACTTCATAATTGTTTAAGTCATTTTCGTGAAATGAATGAACAATCAAATGAAATTACTGAAAATATTGATGAGAATATTAAAAATATATTAAATGAATTAATTGATCAAATAGAAAATTCTATCGAAAAACAACAAACAAATGAAATTGATTTAGTTGATGTAACATTAGATTTTAATTTATTAAATGAATTATGTACAAAAAAATTAACATTTCATGAATATTTAACTATACTTGATCGATTAATTGATAATAAATATCTGAAAATTTCAACCAAAACAGGTGAAGATTTATCAAATGAAATTCTTCTACTTGCTGAACAAATTGAACAACATCGAACAATAATTATAACAGATTATAATCATAATATTGATATAGATAATCAATATCATTTACAATTTTTAACAAATACACAATCAAATTATTCTTTTATGTCATTTTTACAACAATCAACATCAATGGATATGTCTGTATTAGCAACAAATGATTTATCAAATCAAATGCAATCAACGTTATTTACAGCAAGTATTCAACAACAACAATCAACAACATCTAATGGAAAATCAGCTGATATTGGTATGTGTACTAGTGTATTTTTTCTAACTATTTAATAATAATTTTTGTAAATAATATTTTTCTCTCGAGACATTTTCTATTTCTCTGAAGGATTTTTTTGTCTATTTTTAACGAAAAAATCACGAGGGAACTTTTCTTACTTACATTAAAAGTCATAAATTAATGAATTTCTTTGTTATTGTGAAAATAAATTGTTCGATTTGACCTGATGCATCGAATATTTTTCCAATTAATAATGTCACTTATCTAACGGATGACCCATAATAAATAGTTACACTTTGCATTTCATATATTAATCTCTAAAGATGTAGCATGAAAACCTCTACAATCAGCGGTGTAAAGTTTATTGTAATTGTTTGCCTTTTATTTTCAAAATAAGCAAAATTCTATGCGATCAATTTTTGATGCTGCAAACACAATCATTTTTTGATAAACGATCAATGCACTTTTGATCTTATCGATGAAAGAGTATTCTATTCATTGATGAACAGTATTTCTCATTAAAACATGTTTATGTTGAATGTTAACAAGAAATTATAAACGAAAAGAGTAAGCGTACAAAATCAATTATGGTGTGATTACGTGCATCTAGCAATAGTCTCACGTCTTCCATTTCATTTAAATTTGGTAAAATATTATTCACATGCAAACTATATTGAAGTTATTCTTCGACAAGTACAAACTGAAGACAAATAGCTTTGAGGTGATGATTTCAACTGTCCACAGAACAAAACCACGTCATATATCCATCAGCAATCATTAGCATTGTGTGTAGAAAACTTCAGTCATTTTATGGATAACTGCAGATGGCCACCAAATAGTCCTGATATCAATATTCTGGATTATTATGCATGAGATGCTGTTATCAATCATATACAATAAGATAAGATTAAAACTTATGATTCGTTAATTGATGAAATAAGCAAAAAGAAATTGATTGTCTTTAAAAAAAAAATACTTTTGTTCACAGTATCGAAAATTGGTCGAAGAAAATTCTGCTTATTTTGAAAACAAAAGTACACAATAAAAATAAGTCTTACTTTGTAGATTCTAGAGCTTTTTATGCTGTATCTTGTGGTACATTCTGCTTTTTCTTTAATACACCGTATTTAGTGATGAAAATATGAAATGCAAAGTGCAACCATTTATTATGGGTCACGCATTATTTGTAGATTGTCATTTCTAGTATTATATTTAGTACAAAAACAAAAACAGAGAAACAATATAATATATAAAGGAATAATGGAAAATATTTTTAGATCATACTTAATCTGTCAGAGTGTCATGATCATTTTAAGGTTACATTAGTAGTCGGAAAACAATTATAAAACAGCATATATATATATATTTATATTTAATATTCTTTCATGTGAAAAAGAATGACGCAAAAGTTCTGACTGATTTTTGGTGAAATAAATGTTTCAATGTTACTAAATGTTCTTGTAAAACTATTTGTATAGAAGAAAAATACGGTAAAACACGCTGTTTAAAATGATTAGAAATTGATTTGTCTAGTTCGTTTTGTAAAGAGGATATCCCATCTGTTTACAGATTTGGTCACGCGGCTGAGTCGTTACTACTAATAATTTTCCTACTAGATAAACTAAAAGAAACAATTTATAAACAATTTAAATAGTACGCTGTGTTTATTATACAAAACGACTGAATACTTTTGTACCATCATTTACTAACCTATCGACATTGATGGAATATGCAACGAATTCTAATATAGCATCTAATCAATTTTTATTGAAAGTTTCCGACTGATAACATTCATGATTGTTAATATTTTTAAATTTAGGTCCATTTTTACGCACAATATTTTCGAGATTAGAAAATATGTTTCAAAATTCTTTATATGTGAATCTTTTATTAACGGGTATAATCTCACGATTAGCACAATATTCTCAACCATTATTACGTTCATTATTACTAAATCACAGTCTTGTACTTGAAACAAATGTCAAATCACTTTTTCAAGTAAAAACAAAAAAGAAACACTTTAAATTTGATCAAATTATTCTTTTGTTTATTTTTTAATTAAAGATTCTTTCAAATCTCAAATCAAAACTTGAAACAATTTCTCAAACGTTTAATGATTTTAATTATCTTGTCCAATTAGCACATGAAGCATTATATCAAAGAGAAAAAACTTCAAAAGTATATATCTAAATATATGTTTGGCTTTTTTGAATTTTCAAAAAAATTTATTCTTTATTAGGAATTTGATGAAATACAGAAACGAGCGCGTTCTCCATCACGTATACGATCAAAATCAGCTGATCCAGGCAAAGGTAATTGAATAAAATAATTTTTTCTTGTATTTGTATTTTCATCTTGATTTTCACAGAAGAAGAACGAGTTTTTTTTGAAATTCAACAAATACCTATAAAAGGTTTCGCATGCGATTTCTTTGTTTTTTCTGTTGCATGTGTAATCGTGATAGTTCTCATTTTGTTTTTCTGTTTATTGCAATTGAATAAGAAATTTTTATTTATTTTATTAATTTAGAACGTATATCAAAGCGAAGTCGTATCTTGGATTTTTTTCGTGGTCGTAGTCGAGCTTCCGAACGAACAGATACTAATACAAAAGAACGCAATCATTCTCATGTAACATTAATTGATAAAACATCAATGAAGTAAAATTAAATAAAAACAAAAACCTAAATATTATTTTAAAAATCATTTTTAGATTTATTAATATTCGTGATAATCATGAAAATATACCTCTAAATGAATGGGATGATCCAAAAACACGTAATATAGCTTATTGTGCTGTTATATACAATGAATTTCTTAAAGAACTTGCAGCTATAGCTTTAGAACATAGTGTACAACAATTTGATGATGATAAAATATTTGATGATCTTCCATCAACACAATTATTGTTTTAAAAGAAAAACAAATCTGCTTTTGCCTTTGTGTTTTTTTTTATGTGTACTCATTCGAGTTGTAATCTAGTTTATTTATTTTTCTATTTTCTATTAACTGTCAATAACCTCTTTTATGTGCATATGATTAGTATCTATTTATTATTTGCAATATTTATTTATCAGTATTTTTATGAAAGAAAAATACTGTTCTTGCAATGTGTGCATGAGTTAGATGATAAATTATGGATCTGATTTATCGATGTTTTTCTTTGAATAGTGGTGGATCGATGATAATATCATGTTCGATTGTTTTTTCTTTTTCGCTTTTATTATTATTATTATTTTGGCTAGTAATAAACATGCACAATGTGTGCTTGGATTTCTCAAATAGATTTATAGTTACTATTCGATTACAAGCGTAGAATTTCAAGCTGAAATAAATCAACTTTTGTAACCGATATATTGTACGAGTATTTAGTTGAATAATAATGTATGCAAGTCCTGCAAATATGTCGCAGTCGAGAAAAATGAAGAAGATTCAATAGCTTGTGTGAAAAATAATGATGATCTTCTAGGATATATTCATCGATATTGTCTTTAGCGGTTGGGGGTGTGGATTTTTTCGTTTGGGTCTGCGGGGCGCACAATTAGAGAGGGTGTAGGTGTCCTTTGATTGGGTTCTTGTTTTCATGGCATTCTCAAATACATAATGTGTATGCCGGCATTTTTTGAGTAATAAAGTTACTGCACGAGTCATATTTGGGATTCGGTGCTTGTGAAGATGGGTTATCGTTTTGCTTTTCCTTCAGCTACATAAAGTAATCGTATTAAGAGAAAAGAGGCCTTTCCTTAGTTTCTATTTGGTATTCTCGTGATTCTGTGATGCATAAGAATACATCTGTTATCGGGTTTGTATTGATAGTTTGATATTTGCTAAATATTTATCTAACTATCAACTTAACTAGCGAATAAGTCTATACAAATGTGCTGTGGTTTTAATGATAACGTTACCAAAAAAAATGTCATGTATTGAAACAAGCAATACAAACTATCTTTAATCACCTTAAAACGACCGTTTTGTTCAACCATTCTTACATCCTAATGTTGAGGAAATAAAATCGTCTATTTACTCGCACGAAAACTGGATTTCTGTTAAATTTTAAGCAAATATCTGACTTTTTGTCAAAATTTCATGTGAATGACTGACCGTTTTTTATAATTTTTTTTGCAATGTTTTACAGAAATGACTGATTTTAAAATAATTTTGTCTTATAACAATATTGGAAATAAAAGATGTTCCCATGTCTCTTCTTTCTATTGGTGAAAAGCGCAGAGCTCTAGCTATCTTCGTTAAAAAATTATAAGCATTTGCCCGATGGCTTTCTTTTAAAATTCCGATAATAGTATGTTTTAGTGTAGAAACGTTTTAGAGAGATTTACTATTATGAGTGGTCTCCTACTATGAATTCCTCTCTATAAAGTATAGAATATCGTTATCACATTTTAATTTGTCCAATATGATCATGTTTTAAATACAAAGTAAAGGTAGAAAAGGACAAAGAAGGAAAAACTACAATTAAATTTCATTTTTTTTATAAATTGGTCTAAATTGACTTATTTATTTTTCTTCTTGCTGATGACGCTAAATAAATATCAGTTCTTATTTTTTTTTGCCATTGTTTTCTTTTTTTAATTATCATTACCATCATTGTCTTTGAATTCTAATTGATGATATATTGATGAATGTATTAATTCATTTTCACATTCATCAATAGTCGAAGTGATTTCAATACTTGAATCATCATTAAAAATGCTACCATCATCAAAATTCGAATGATCTTCCCCATAAAAGAATGCTTGATGTTGTTCCCACATATTTTGTACATTCACTAGATCTATATTGCTACTGCTACGAATTAAGTTTAATACAAATCGTTCTCTCATCGTCACACCATTGACACCTCTTTCTTATTCTCTCGTTTCCACGCTAGCTGGCAACAGCTATTTTCTTTCTTCGAAGAAAATATACATTTGAATTATCGCCAATAAATACAATTCAGCAATATTTCAACGAAAAGAATTTAATAAGATTTAATGGAAGGATTTTTCCACAATAGGCTAATCTTTTAATATGCCGGATCATTCATACATTTGACTACTAACGTTCATCAACCAAATTAGACATCTTGTGACTTCTAAGGGTAAAGGAATAGTACATTTTCAAAAAATTATTTTCAATGGCTTAATAGGTTATTTATATATCATTTTATAGAGAATTTAATTCGAAATAAAATGATATAAATATATTTGAATAAAAATCAAAAACTGATTACAAAAAGTTTAGACGATCATCAGCCTGGGCTTGTGCATTGGCTATACCAGAATCTTGTGTATCTTCGATCTCTACTATTTGATTCAGAATCGGAGTCATTTTTTCAGCATCAATAGTTATCATCAAGAGCAGCAAATGTCTGTCTTCTCGTTTTCTATCTAGAAACATCATGCAAAATAGACAAGATAATATATGGTAGGTAATATTCGATACTTATGACTTTTACCACTTTATCTAGAACTGAAGAAATTTGCTGAATCATGCTTTCATAAGAAGAGCAATATAACCATATCAAAAAGCTTGTGAAAATTGCATCTAGTGCCGATGTGTTATTGTATGAACGAAGTTACTAATACTGAGAAGAACAGTAATCGATTGATAATTATTTCCTTCAGCGAAGTGATTCGTATGAAATATGAATGATTGCCTATCCGGTTATTTGCATCATGTTTAGTTGAAGAACT